GTTTATATTTGTTATGGGAAGTCAAGCCACATTAAACTCAAGATAGAATATAGGGCTTTAATTTATTGGCACTGAACAATGTACATATTGTTTGGGAAATAACTAAGATGATGTGCTATCAATGTGCTAATTGGTTTTTTCTTATTCAGTGAATGCTGAAAACATTTAACACAAGTTACATTTTAATACACAATTTTCAATATTGAATTTTTTAAATTGAGACATCAAAATTAGGGCATTTTAAATATATGTGGTCTAATCAAAATATTTAAGAAATATTATTAACGATACTACTTTTTACACAGGAGAACACAAAGTTATATCTCAATTTACTTGAAATGGAATATAGTGGTGACCTCAAACAAAATGAAGAAAATATCCTAAATTGTTTTGACAAAGCTATACATGGTTCATTACCTGTTAAAATGAGAATTACATTTTCTCAGAGAAAAGTGGAATTTCTTGAAGATTTTGGTTCAGATGTTAATAAGTAAGATCTTAATTATATATTATCTATTTGAATAGTAAATGAGCATTGATAGTTTTGGTTGGGAATTTGATGATTAGTACAAATTAATATATTGTTAAATTTAAAATGTTTGCCTAGGTTACTTTTTCATCAGGTATATCTGAGGTAATTCAGTTTTGCAAATGTATGTATGTGCTTAATCGTAGGACATACGGTTTCTATTTCCTTCCAAACTATTGTTAAAACTTAGCATGGTAATTTAAACAATGAGTGGATGAAGGAAGACAGGAAGCAGCAATCCCATGAAAAATGGGATTAAGGATTGAACCTTGAAACACAGAAACATTTGGTATATAGACCACTAAAGGTGGATGGATTAATCTGGAAGAATGCCATTGTATTTCAGATTGGAAAAGAGAATGGAAATGGTTCTGCAGATGATACCTAATGGCCTCATCTTTGTGCGTTGTAAAAGGCTGAAAGTTGAGGATGGTACAAGGATTCACTCTAGGGGATTTGGGAAAAGGACAAGTTTAAGATTTAAACTTGCAAAATAGAAGAGTAGCAATTTATTAGAGAAATTTATTTGCTGTGATTCCATTCTTACATGATTCTAGTAAGGAAATATCCCAGTTCCTGTTAGAAATGTGCCTTCTCTAATTATTCTAATTTAGAGTTATTTACATTGAAACAGCTGTTGATAAAATAAGATTTAGTTTTGTGTCTGTGTACTTACATGTGTGTGTATACATTCTTGATGGCTTAGTAAAATTTTAAAAAATCATTTAACTTGAGTTCCATTTTAACACAATGGTACATATGTGCTTGGCTTCAATTAAATGTTTTATAAGAATTATCTAATGTAAAATACATAGCAATCTGATGAGGGGTATAAGTACTGTTATTCTTTCAATGGATGAAAAAGGGTTTAAAGAAAGTTTAGGGATTCTTTTCCAAGGTCACTTAGCTATTACATTGTGCATCTGGGATTAGTTATTAATATTGTGCCAGCTGGATTTAGAACCCGCTTTACAGTCTGCTCTTAAGCACCTCATGTCCTGTATATTTAATGTCTTCTGTTTGTTTTGCATTTAAGAAATTAAATGGAATATGTAATTCTAGCTTTTAGTCTAGTTGGATGGGATGGTGATCAGAGGATATACATGTGTATGAGGTGACATAAGTTTTAAGGCTCTGGATCAGAATGGATTTATCATCCTTCATAGGGGAGGTAGGGCTTCATTTAATTAACTACTGGATACTGATAAACTGAGAAGAGGATAAAATGTAAAAGCAAGTTAAAATTCATATACAAATAACATCTGCTGAAGTAGAAGTGATTGTTCGTTCTGTGCTTTGAAAGCTAGTTTGAGTTCAGAGAACATGGAGAGTACACAATTGACAGTAGGAAACTATTAGTGGTTTTATTGAGATTAAATGGCATGTTAATTTGGTAATAATATGCAGACAAATCGGAAGTTCAATACAAAGATGCCAATTAGGTCCTTACAAGTACAGTTATGGAGGACCTTAAGTATTGGGTAGTATGTTGTTGAAATTTTTAGAAAGGTATAATGTGAAAAGTAAATGAGGCACATAAAAATTTAGGTAGCAGTATAATGAATTGGTAAGAATTAATGTTGAAGTCTGACAAATATAGGCTTAAATCCTAGCTCTGTCACTTACTGATTTGTGTATTCTTATTTTCAAATTTTTCACATGGAGATTCTCTGTATCACCTAACCCACAGGTTGTTAAGGCCTTAAGGAAATTAGTCCATTTAAAGTGCTTGAAAATGAGTAAACATTTGACCTGAGATTACTGGTATTAACAATTTTACATATGTCACATCAGAATTTTGTTAAAGCTTGTTTTTTTAATCAATGGTAACCCATTATACTATAGTTTTATATTAGTTCTAATTCAGTTTTATCACATGGCCAAATTTTAAAAGCATTTTATCCTAAATGCAGATGTCTTCAATAGCATTTAAATTAGATTCAAAAGTATACAAATTGTAGAATTGTCAGGTCTCGTGTTCCCTTTGACAAGATCCTTGTTTTAGTTGTGTCGTAGATTCAAAGGCAGGTTCTCCCATGTATTATAAATAATAAACTTGGCCAGCATCCCATCAGCTTTAGACAACTGTAGTACAGAAAATACTTTTCCAGTAGCTCATAAAAAATTCTGGGACTCCTGCTTTGGGTCATAGTCTCACCTCTAAACCATTAATTGGCCCAGGGGTATAATGTGACTAGCCAGGCCTATATCTTTGAACTACATAGAGTGAGAAGGAAAGTATAGGGCAATGGTGTCCCAAAGGAAATAGATAAAAAAAGGTAGCTGAGGACAGATTAGGCTGCTGGCTCATTTAAAAAATATATATATAAATAAAAGGATGTCTATTGCAATATATTTTGTTTCCCTAAGTAGAAATAAATTTTTAAAATTAACATTTTGGGTTTTGTATATTTCAATGGATGTTTTTATTCCTTCTCAGGCTTCTGAGTGCTTATGATGAGCATCAAACACTCCTAAAAGAACAGGATTCTTTGAAAAGGAAAGCAGAAAATGGGTATGTACATATTTGTTGAGTCAGGAAAGGATGTTTAAAAGATGACATTTTTCATTGTGGAAATGACTTTAAAGAAAAATATAATTTATCCTCACCTGAGGATATGTTTTTTAGAGAGAGAAAAGAACAGAGAAGACAAATATTTTTAAATGTTGCCTTTGCTAGGCCAGTGTGGCTCAGTGGTTGAATGTCAACCTATGAACCAGGAGGTCATGGTTCAATTCCCAGTCAGGGCACATGCCCCGCTGGTGGGCTCATTACCCAGTGTGGGGCATGTAGGAGCCAAGAGATAATTGATTCTCTCTCATCATTGATGTTTCTGTCTCTCCCTCTCCCTTCCTCTCTGAAATCAATAAATGTATATTTTAAAATTGATTTTAAAATATTGTGTATTAGGATACTTTCATGTTGTGGTAATTGAGATACTTTATTTTCATGATTTGAAAAAATTGTATACAACTCTTGAATGGTTGAGAACATCAGAAAAATAAATGTACACAGGTGACATTTATCTGTTTGTTAAAGTACTTATTGTAAGAGCTGTTAAAAGTTCCACTTTGACCTTTTATATAGATCAGAAGAACCAGAGGAAAAAAAAGCACACACAGAAGATACAGCTTCATCCTCTGCGCAGTTGATTGATGGTGATTTACAAGCAAATCAAGCTGCATATAATTATAGTGCCTGGTATCAAGTGAGTTTACATAATTATAAATGAATTTTTTGTTCATATATGTTATTAGAAAAGCATAAATCAGGGCAGTCTTTTTTATTTTAGAAAAAAAACAGGTCTTCTGTTTCAGATGGTATAATACATTATCTTTGTGGTTAAGTCTTGGAATTTCTACAAGTGAATACATGCCTGTTTTCTTACACATATCTGCTTTAATTATTTTGTATGAGCTCAGCCATAGTTCTGGTATGCTAACATGTTTGCTTTTTCCTTTCAGTACAATTACCAGAATCCTTGGAATTATGGACAGTATTATCCTCCCCCTCCAACTTGATGGGAAAATATAAATATCAGATGGAGTGTGTGGAAAGTATAATGTTATTTTTTTTCAACAAGAGATGTAAACATTGGCTTGTCATATTTGACAACTTGTCTTCCCTGTTTCTGTGTAACATGATTTTAGTATTAGGGAAAATGTCACTTAGTAGCTTACCACAGATACTATTTCCTACCATTTATAAAGTTTACTTTTTATTGGAGAACTATTTTTTTGATTTTTGCATTAAGTGGTCTAGAATTCTTTTGCAATGCATTTTGTAGCCTTAAGGGTGGGAAAAAAACTGACTGCAAATGTCAGTGTAGTACAAGAGTCTGAAAATACATAAAGGGCTGGTTATTAAGGATTTACCTCTCTGTAAAAAGAGGGGAAAAAACCCACCAAAAAATGGATTTTTAGCCTTTACTGACCAGGCTTTGTCTGCGTGTTTCAATTATCCCTGTGACTTTTGATTTAACTGCAGGAAAGATACACACTATTAAAATACTATGCCATGGCATAGAGATTACAGATCAGAAAATCGAAATGTTTGCATCCCTTTAAAAAATGAAAATTGTATCAAAACTTATGTTGTTTCAGAAGACTTTGTATTTACAATATTCATGTAAATTTGTGAACAAGCTTTCATTTTGATCAAACTGATCATCTACATTTTTGTAATAAAACTGAAGACTCATCCACCAATTGTTATGAGTTTATTTAGGGAATCACCTATTAACTTTATATAAAGCTGTTATATTCAGCTATTAATCTTCTTATTAGAATTTCTTAGACCTTTTATCTTTTTCATTCCTCTCAATCTCTGTGCTTTTATCTTCTCACTATACAGAAATATTTAAAGATTTTAAATGAATGTCTGACAAAGCTGTACGAACAATTCGCTGCTCCCTGGTTTGATGAAGCCTTAGTCCTGGTAAACCTAATCAGAACATTAACACCAAACAAATCAAGACATTGGGTACATTTTTATTGAGCCTTTTAGTTTACAACATGAGGTAAAAGGAAAAGTTCTTAACTAGTAATTTACACAGCTGTAGTAAAATATTTTAAACTGCAGGGATTTATAACAGATTATATTTCTTAATTTTTGGGAGAGAGTAAACAAGTTCTAACATAACTATAAATTTTCCAGTTCACTTCCATTACAATAGTAACCAGCTGTAATTAGTTACGTAACTTTCTTCAAGGCTATGGCTGATGTCTTAGATCAGAAGCATTGCTGTTTCAATCAATATCCACTAACTCCACTTCAAAAATGAGTTTTGCATTTGGTGGGATTCTGTTCAAGAAGTTAAGGTAAATATGATAAAATTGCTTCTCATTCCCAATAATCTTAGTCTAAAATTAGAAGGCTTTGCAGCTGACTTATAGGCTAATACATTCCAAGCATAGTGGTTCCTAATAGAGATAGATACCTTTGTAAATAGAAATTATAGGCTGACTAGGCTTTAGCTTGGCTGGGATCTTCCTTATCTGGATGCCTAACTAGTACTCCCAATTTAGCAACCACTTAATGAAAACTTGTTATTCAGTATTCAAAAAAATTTTTTTTCAATCTAGCTGGGTATATATTAAATCAAAGTTCATATGAGGTAGTACCTGATATTTGCTGTTTTAAAATGCTGAGTTTAGAGAAGAGTGTGACTTTTATCTGATTGATCTTAACATGCTTCAGAGAGAGAGAGAGAGAGAGAGAGAGAGAGAGAGAGAGAGAGAGCGCGCGCGCGCGCGCTGTAGCTAGCCAACTCATTCTAATAGGCTTAGAAGAGACTATTATATTCCCAAATAATTTTAATTGGTAAGACCAGAGAGGACTTCCAAAAACTTTTTTTCCAAACTTACAATGGGAATGGAACCAACAACAAAAAAACTACCTTCCCACTTGGCTATTAGTAACCATTTAGTTCTGGTGGAATGGTCTGGAGTCATGGCTCTTTTTTTCTTTTTATCAGAAAAGTATACTGTCATTAGTATTGATCACAAAAGCTTACAGCATGTTGAACCCAACTGTTCTCCTTCATTTCACAACTGGTAATCCCCAACATGTGTTCCATTTTTATAATTGCCTGAAATTACACTGTAGCAAAAATACCATGAGACATATCTGCATTCTACAATATGCTACAGTTGTTTGTATTGGGCATCTTAACTCCTTAAATAGTAAACCCTTCAAATAATTGCCTGTCATAGAGGAAAACTTAAATCTCAGTTTAAATCTTAAAAATTAAGAGCATGAGTAAGAGGAAGAAAGGATATTCCAGCTCAAGTTTGAATACTTTGTACCAATACATAATCCTCCTATATAATAAAAGGGTAATATGCAAATAGAACAAACAGCAGAACTGAACAACCAAAGGGTAATATGCTAATATCCTATGGCTGCTCAACTGCTTGCTATGACATGCACTGACCACCAGGGAGCAGATGCTCTGACCAGTAGGTTAGCTTGCTGCTGGGTCCAGCCAATTGGGACTGAGTGAGATGGCCTGGACATGCCCTGGAGCCCTCCTTCGGTCCCTCAGCCTGGCCTGTGCCCTCTCACAATCTGGGACCCCTTAGTGGATGTCAGAGAGCTGGTTTCAGCATAATCCTGCAGGCCATTTCCCTTGGGAGGGCACCAGATGCAGGGCTCATGGCTGGTGAGTGCTGCTACTGCAACATGAGCCTCTCCCTATAGGGATTGATTAGACGCGAGCCTGTGGCAGGCACAGTGGAGCCAGGATGAGCTGGAGAAGCAGGTAGGAGCTGCAGGCAGCGTTGGACTGGGGGTTTCAGCCCTATCCCTGCAGGCCACCCAGAGGGACCCCACCCGTGCACGAATTTGTGCACCGGGCCTCCAGTTGTCTATATTGGAGGTGTTGACACAAAAGCATCTAAATCAGGAATTCTGGTCTGAACAGGATTCCTGATCTGGAGGTTAACCTAGATAGCATCTTTTATATCTTCAGGTGATCCTTTATAGTGTTTTTCCTTTAATTACAAAGGATACTTGGCATCAGGCTGTCCTTTCTTACCATAAGCCCATTCTGGTTCAATTTCTAGTCGAGCTTTTTCTCCTTTACTCATAGTCAAGAGCGCTTCATCCCACTAAAGGCAAGAATATAGAATCAAATTAATGATTCTCAAAAATACATGTGAAACCAGAAAACAGGTAAGGTTATATACAGAAAAACATTTTATTACTGGATTTCATTATGTCATAAATGGTAATGTCCTTGGGAGAGTCCTCAAATCATTGTCCTTTATTTCCTCAATGAAAAAAGAATATATTAAACCATTTTTTTAATATAATACTCAAATGCCTTAAATGATATAATATAAAAGCACTTTTGTAAACTGTAATATGGAAACTGGTTTATTAGCACAATAATTTCTTTGCTACACTATTACATCCTTGGACAAATTTCTGAAATTATTCTTATAAGGAGAAACTAACAAGTACTATCTCTAAAACGATCTTCAGATTACCAAATTGTTAACAGTGGAGTCATGATGTTTGTTAAAAACAAAGTACATGCTAGAGCATTAATATATTTTGTAGAAGGTGAAACTACTCAAAGTGAGAGATTTCTGGGTTGCTGCTACATTTTGCCCAAATTTGGATCTTAAAGCCAGTTACCAAAAATAGTTAAATAAATACAATGAAAGGATATAGAATATGACTTAATATATACTATGTTGAAATGTAACTGTTCATGAAGTTCAAGGGACAGAGAGATTTGCCAGATACTGAAAATTAAGAAAATAAACTAGAAGAAATTTACCAGTAAGTAAATTAGATAGAAAAATAGCTCAACCTGACAATTGCTCTCAACTTAGTATAATCAGGTAGCATTAAGGTTATTTCCAACTAAGCCTTTAATTCCAAATTATTTTATATTTTGGGCTCTGGATATGATTGAATCATTTTAAGACTTAAAAAGAAATACACTGAAGGTTCTTATAACTTCATTTAAATATGTGTTTCAGTTATTAATGTTTGGTGTCCTGAGTAAAGACAAATTAAAATAAGTGGGCCCTAACATGACAACCCGATTCAATGAAGCTGATAATCAGTACTCTTATATCTCTTTTACACTGCAGTGGTCAAGTACAGCTAACTTCCCCTTTTCTCAGTTTTCTTGTTATCTCACAGGGAAAGTTGGATAAAGGTATACTTACGTTTGAAAGATTTTCTGGTCTTTGAGCCTAAGTTGTGAGAGGTGAGGGCTATAGAACAAACTCTTGCTTTTATTAGTACTTCAGTGGAACAGATATTTTATCTTTATTGATCGTGTTATAAGTGGTACAACAGCCATGCAACATCTTACAAGAATCTAAAAGAAAATTTAAAAAGCTAAACAGCCGAAACCGGTTTGGCTCAGTGGATAGAGCGTCGGCCTGCGGACTGAAAGGTCCCAGGTTCGATTCCAGTCAAGGGCATGTACCTTGGTTGCGGGCACGTTCCCAGTGGGAGAGTGCAGGAGGCAGCTGATCGCTGTTTTTCTCTCATCGATGTTTCTATCTCTCTCCCTTCCTCTCTATAAAAAATCAATAAAAATATGAAAATAAAAATAAAAAGCTAAACACACTAAAAATTAATTTTTGAAGGAAAAGATAAGAGGTAGGATGGAATATTGGAGTCTCTGCAATATTACATGATTTAAATTATGTTCATTTAATCTTTGAGTAACCTTGAGGTAGGCTGTACAGTCCTTATTTTATAGATGAGGAAACTGAGACCTAGATACCTTACTAATTTGTGCCAGAACATTTAGTGGTGATAGCCCAAATTTGTCATACTCCAAAGCTTGTTTTCATGATATCCAGAATCCTAATTCTTTATAGTACCATGCCACAAGTAGCATGTGCCAGAATCTCTTGACACACTGCCATTTTTTACTTACTCCTCTGATAACTTTGCCTATTCCAACCTTAAAACTTAAAGGCTTGGCATTTTTCTTCTTCTTTGAACCTGTAAAACAAATTTTCCTTATAATTAATGATGAAATTAAGTTCCAATGGGAAAACAGGGATTTAACCCTTTGTGGTCCAATTTTATTTCTGGAATTCAAACAGTCTGGTCCAAATTAATTGATAGGATTGAATGTTGAACCAGTTTGCGGTGTCTCAGCCTCAGACGTTGGACCTGCTCCTAGCGCCTGGTCTGTCGAGTCAGCCTACACGTTGGACCGAAAAGGGTTAAGTCTGTAACTCAATTTCAGAACTTATAATAGTGTGCATTTGAAAAAAATGCAGAAAGCCAGGTAATTTACCCAGAAAATTCTTGCCCTAGCTGAATTGGGTAGAGTTTGGCCTTCAGACTGAAGGGTCCCGAGTTTGATTCCAGCCAAGGGCATATGCCCGGGTTGCAGGCTCGATCCCGAGTGTGGAGTGTGCAGGAGGCAGCCAATCAATGATTCTCTCTCATCATTGATGTTTCTATCTCTCCCTTTTTCCTCTCTGAAATCAATAAAAATGTTTTAAAAAATAAAAGAAAATTTTTGATATAGAAACAATTACGGCCTGACTGGTGTTGCTCAGTGGTTGGGTGTCAACCTATGAACAAGGAATACACATGCCTGGGTTGTGGATTTGATACCTAAGAAGGGATCGTGCAGGACGTAGCCAATCAATGATTCTCTCATCATTGATGCTTCTATCTCTCCCTCTCCCTTTCTCTGTGAAATCAATAAAAAATATATAATTAAAAAAACACCAAACAATTATGGTTGAAACAGTGGAGAGGGGAAAGGACCTATATTTACACCACTAATGCAAGGTATCCTGCTTTTTACGTTAACACTAGAGGCCTGGCATATGAAATTTGTGCATGGGTAGGGTCCCTAGGCCTGGACGGTGGTCAGGGCCAATTGGGGGCCTTCCAGCTGCCAGCCAGGGCCTCCTTTCCCTGGCTGCTGGCTGACGGATGGGGCCTCCCTTTGTTCCTTGCCGCCCCCCTGGTGGTCAGTGCACATCATACTGAGTGATCAAACTCCCGAGGAGACACTTTACATGTTAGGCTTTTATATATATACTAGAGGCCTGGTGCACAAAAATTTGTGCACTCAGGGGGAGAGGGGGTCCCTCAGCCAGCCTGTGCCCTCTTGCAGTCTGGGACCCCTCAGGAGATAACGACCTGCTGGCTTAGGCCTGCACCTGGGTGGCAGAGGGCAGGCCCAATCCCTAGGTGCAGCCCCTGGTCGGGCTCAGAGCAGGGCCGATTGGGGAGTTGGGGCACCGCCCCGTCATGCACAGAGCAGGGCGGATCGGGATGTTGCGATGCCACCCTCAGTCACGCTCAGGGTAGGGCCTATTGGGGGGTTGGGGCACCCCCTCCTGTCACACTCAAGACAGGGTCGATGGGGAGGTTGCGGGCCCACCCCGTCAC